TCGGCAAGACCGTTTTGTGCTTGAGCGCCACCAAGTCGTGTTTTACTGTAACTTCAGCAGCTCCAGGCACGTGAACAAAAGCGCCAGTCTCATGGTTGTCCAATTTTTCATGCGGCGCGTCAAACCAAAAAAAGAGCCCGAGGCGGTTTTTAAAAAATGACACTTTTACGCCTCGCGTTTTGCGCGTCGGTGTGCACACTCACTTTGGCGCCCATTGTTTAGTCACGAGGCGTTAAACGTCGACAATAATCGCGCGTGATATTCGTCCCGGTGTGAACAAGCCTTAAGACTGGTTTTGTGGTCCAGGGTCACATTTGCCCTCTTCATGTTTCAGGTTTGCATATATAGAGTTCGCAGACAAGGAGTCTGTTAGGACCGCTATGGCACTGGATGAGTCTTTATTCAGAGGAAGGCAGATTAAGGTGAGATGAGGCATTACAAGCTTGCTAACTAATACTGATAATAAATTGTTTTGACTTTTGAAATCAACATAAAATTGAAAATTCAGTTTTAGCAACAAAAAAAAAATGTGTAAAAATGCAGCAGATATGCTTTATGAAGCATTGACAAATACTTCAGTCATATATGTTTTCAGTTCTTTTTTACCCCTTATAAAGTTTTTTTTTTTTAGGGTTTGTAAAAAATACATATATTTCAGAATTTCTTGCAGCCTTTTAAAATTTTAATCATAAATTTCCCAACTGTTCTTACAGGTTGGGGCCAAGAGAACAAATCGTCCTGGCATTAGCACCACAGACCGCGGTTTTCCTCGGGCCCGATTCCGCTCACGGGGAGGAGGAAACTTCTCATCCCGTGCGCGCTACTACAGTGGCTACACACCTCCCAGAGGCAGAGGACGGGCCTTCAGGTGAGCTCCATGCCAACCTTGCACGTTTGACAGTGACTGACACACAGGCTCCATCCTGACAGAGAGTGCTGCTGTGAAAGTGTGTGCATCGGGGTGGGGGCGACGGGACAATCCTAAATAAGTGTTTCTAAATGTTGATGCTTCATTTTGTTATATATTTTATTTATCCCATCTTGTCATGCAAAACATTTCTGGAAAAATGTTTCAGAAGAAAAATGTATCAGAATATGAAATTCATGTTCACACACAGGTTATTGTTTTTTTTTTTTTTTTACATTCTGTGATGATCTGTAATTGTACAACAGTCTTCCTTCTGTATGTATGCATGCCCCTCTTTAAAGCCTCTAGGTGTGAGGAGAGAAGGAACCGCACCACTCTTATTTGCAGCCAGCACTCTCTGTACAAGCTCCTGTGTGTCGTCATGTTAAAAGGAAAACTGAGGAAGAATTACAAACCATTAAACACATGCACAGCCATTGTCATCATCGCTGTCCATTTCCCTCCTGCAGTGTAAGATTCTGAGCATGGAATGAGCCTTCGCACTCACCAGAGGTTTGGAAGTCAGTCTGCTTCCCAATGTGAAGATAATTTCTGAATTGTGTCTCAAAACAGAGTGAGCTGCTTACACTGGTGAATTTTTAAAGGGGTTATATGACATTGCTAAAAAAGAACATTATTTTGTGTATTTGGTGTAATGAAATGTGTTTATGTGGTTTAAGGTTAAAAAAACACATTATTTTCCACATACTGTACATTATTGTTTCTCCTCTATGCCCCGCCTTTCTGAAACGCCTCGATTTTTACAAAGCTCATCGGTCTGAAAAGCGAGGCACAGTGACGTAGACATGTGGGGGCGTGTTAGAACGAGGCATTTTAGGAGGGTGTGGACGAGTCTTAACTTTTATAAAGAATATCTCTTTGGGTTTGAGACTTTAGTATTTGCAACTTTAGGGATATTATCTATTCATGAACAGCTTGCTACACTCCAAAGAGAAATGAAAACTTGAAATCGCATCATATGACCCCTTTAAAAAGGCCCGTGGTCCTCTTTAGATAGGCACTTCACTAGGTTTTGGGACACAACCCAAATCCTGTTAGGCCCTCTGGGTGGATTTAGCACTCGATTTCTTTTGGCTTTAATAGTTTTGGTGATGAAGGAATGTAAATAGAAGATTTTTGGGAGCATTTGAATATTTCCTGTTCTTTGTGTTAAAAGATCTGGTAGGGTGAAAGCATTTTATGAATCAGAATCTTGTCCATCAGTTTTTTGGAAAACTCTTGTACGTGCACTGCCACACTTTGACTTTTTTGTTGGAGTGGAGCTTGAGTTAATGCCCTGTAAAAGGTTTTTGATGGGTTTAAGTATTTATTTTATCCCACACCCAAGTTTATATCCAGATTTGAAATATATTTGATATTAAGTAGGTCATTATATGATTGCACATTTTTACAGTTAGCCAATGGGATTAGACTGTAAAACAAGATAAACAAGGTTGAGTATGTAGCTGGATGTCAAGCTCAGCTCTGATTAACTTGAAGGCAAGTGTGTGTTTGAACTCGGGCAAGTTTGGTTCAGAAAAGCCCATTTTAGTTCATTTTCACCCCCTCGCATGATTAATAATGTTCACTTCCAGAATGGAGGGTTCATTCCTGCAGCCTGATATTGACTGTTTTAGTATCCAACCGATAACACAGAGGATTCTGTGCCCTAAAGTGCACAGGCTGTTCTTTGAGGTGTTTTGTGTGAATGAAGGGCATCTCTGGCTGCCTGAATGGATGCCCCTGCATTTATTGATGTATATGAGTGAGCGTGTGTGTGGCCCAGTCCATATGTGGAGAGCTGTGTGTCGCTGACTGTAACTGTGTGTGCATGTGTTGGAGGGTTCATTTCCCCAGGATCTCTCCTTTACAGAGACCACAGGAGCCGCCCCGTTCAGAGAGAGAGAAAGAGGGAGAGCGTGCTTTCACTGTCCCCTACACTGGACACTAGACTATTTCTAAAGCCTGAATATAACAAACACACAAACACACATTCTGCTGTTGGATAATCTTCCTCAGCTTCCCTTTGTATTAAAAAAAATTTACTGGATTCTTTATACATGGTTGCATTAATCACTAATTAAAACTTGTTATCAGAAGAAGAGGGGTATACATTGCATTTCATTTTTTGAATTAATGTGTATACCTGAAACATGAGTGCATAAATAAATGTTCACCTTGTCCTCAAACGATAAGGCCCTTTAAAATGCATATTACTGACATACAAACACTTACACCCCCAAACATTTGAATTGGTGTCCGTCGTCTTGATCCAACCACAAAAAAAGAACTCACCCTCTTTTTCTCTCTCTTTTCCAGGGGCCGAGGGCGAACAACATCGTGGTACTCCCCCTACTAATACCTCCCCACCCCCCCTATGAAATCCCCCCTTACTATCATCCCGTATCCCTATAGAAAAGAAAAAAAAGACCCCTCTCAAAAAAGGAAGAAAAAAAGAAGAAAAAAAGAAAAAAAAGGGGGCGGGGAGAAAGAAAAGAGCATCTCCTGGAAAGACAGACTGACTGGCCGCAGTGTGCGATTGTGTGTGCGCGTGCGTGTGAGGAGGTGTTGCGATCGCCCTGGTAAGGTACAATATGGCCGTTGGGGAGATTTGGTGGCATTTGTTTAAATTTGAGAAGATGTAATCTCAGGCTGCAGATGTGTGTCCTTTTGTCTGGCTGTGATTTTTCTCTCACCAAACAGCCCCGCTTATGTTTGCACTCAAAGGCAAACAGAAAAGAAAAAAAAATGTTAACTTCTTT